AATAAAAAAACATGTCACTTTGGGGACAATCGCGGGTTGGTCATCTAGCACATCAATAGCAGGAAGGGCCTCGGTGCCTGCTTGGTCGCCCCCCGGCTTCATAACTAGGGGATGCAAATCCCTTGCTCTCCCACTCCCCACTACCTGAAATTGTGCTCTGAAGCTCATTTAAATTCAAGGAAGTTGAATCAACTGGGTAGTAACCTGAGGTGGTGAGAAGTATAAGAAACCATGCCCATTAAATAAGATGACTTAAGCAAGACATAGCGTCATTCCATACCTGGCACCTTTAGTCGATTGAATGCATTTGAATTTGGGGGATCCTCACTCCAAGTCCTCCGAACCCCCACTCCCACAAACACACACACATAGAGCAGCAACATGGTTTAATGCACTGAGTTCCCAGGACAATTCCCTAAGAGGGATGTGAGATCCCTGGTGTATGGACAATGTATCAACTTGAACAAACACATTTATAACGCCAAGGACTACCAAAGAGGAGCCTTGGAGGTCTCACAGTATTTTATCTCATTATTATTTTAAGCAGCTGCCTCTAGAATGTGTCCAATAGGCAAAAGGAGGGAATCAAGGAAAAATGTAAGGATTTGAGGGAGGTCTTGTAAAGTTATTTATAGAGCACAAGGCTTGGATATCAATGAAGTATTTAAAACTTTTACATTTCAACAATTATGATTGGTCCAGAAGTAATTATTGCTCAAATTAATTATCTCATTCTTGCTAGATCAACTCTTCCTAAAACTTGAAAGATAACACTAGTGGCATTCTTGTTGATCACCTCTTCCCAAAACATGAAAGACAACACTAGTGAATTTCTCGCAACAAAAAATATCGTCAATCATTTCAACATGGCTGAATTTAAAATAAAAATGTTGCAAAACCTAAATTTGAAATTTTTACATAAAAAAAAATCAGTATTACAAAAGAAGCTTCCTCCAAAAACATTGGGGCAACCTCAACGCCTTAAATTTATACACAATCAATCATAATAAAGGTCAAGGTAGTTGACTCTAATGTCATCTATAGAAACATAGTTGACATGGAGGAGCCCCTCAGAATGAATCTCCTGCCAAAAAGAATGGTTTAGAGCCAGGGGGCTCCAGTTGCTGTTGAAGAAGAAGCAACTTAGCTTTCACTTCAACAAGATCTTGATGTATCCCAAGAAGATCCCCTGAATTGATCTCTGTTTTTTTTATTCAAGAGTAGCAACATGCTCTTTTAGCTCCACAACATCCTCATCCAAGTCCATAACCTTGTTCTGAAGACCCGGCGTGTTGGTTTCCACTTGCTCCAACCCCAACCACCAAACTCAAGTTTTTTGGCAAATGAGTAAAGTTCCTCTTTATTTTTCGCAAGCTTGTAGATCTGTCACACTCACTGAAAGGTTTGACTTGCAAGCAAAAAAATATTGTATTGGTGTCCGTAGATCATTAAAGATCATTGAAGGCTCACTTTTTGGGGCAGTGCTGGTGAAACTAGTCGCTTCCTTGGTTTCTTTCTCATCCTTTGAATTCAAAAGCACATGGAAGATGGTTGGCATTGGTTGACCCCCTTTCAGCTTTGAACTTTCCACGATGGGTCCAGGCTGAGGAAGACCAAGAACGATGCCCACCTCAAGAAGTTTTAAGCCTCCAATCTCCATCTTTCAATGAATCTAACTAAGTCAACCTCTGTTGCAGTCAGTCCAAAAGTTGCATGAAATGCACATGACAAAATAAAGAGTTTTTCATATCAGAAAGAGGCCAGTGTGTACAACTATTTATAATGGGAAGTATTGATCTTTGTGCTCTGAAATCTCTTACCAAATTGCGAACCACAATAAAATGTAAATATCAGTCTAAATAATTCTTATTTTCTCATTGTTTTCACAGTTCTAAATCGAAGAAGCAAGAGAATCGGGAAACCAAACAAGTATAACAAAAAGTAGCCCCATGAAGGTCTGATTGAACCAACTAGGGCAGGGGAAAAGATGGCAATGGGACAAGAAAGAAGATGGTCATCTCAGATTTCCGGAACAATACCAACTGGCAAGTTAAAGCACCCTAAAGAATTAGTTGATCAAACATAGGCTCCCGATACAACAGATGAAACTAAATCCCATGACTCTGCAATTCACAGATAGGTTCAGCCGGTTAAAGCAAAGTTGGAAGAGGATAACTGTAGGCGTCCTCTGAGGAATGCTAGTCTTCCATAATTTAGAGGAAGTAATAGTTGTATACGACCACATTAGGGTATCCCCCTGGAATGAATTCTGTTTAGTTGAAATAGTGTAAAGTTTCCCCCAAAAAAATGTAGGGTTGACTCCGATAAATAGGAGGTTGTGTGCAACATGAGGGGCATTCCTTTTTTGAATTTACCAAGGAATCTTAATAGAAATTTACAAATCCTCTTTTTCATCAACTCTCTTGCTCTTCTCTTATTGTGTGTATATTCTATTCCTCGTGTGTGATTTCAATAGAGATATTATTTTTATAATAGGACTTATAATGGAGTTGTCTTCTTGTGTGTATATTCCATTCCTCGTATGTGATTTTAAGACAAATTTGAGTTCAATAGGGATATTCTTTTTTTAACGAAAAATAAATCATTTTTTAGACTAACTCTAATATTAGTTTGCTAACACAACTAAAATTGTAATATTAAAATTGAAGCACCTTTAATTATTACTTCAGGAGTATTTTTGCAAATCAAATTCTATTATTGCTTCAAATGTCATTTCAGCTTAGCATATAAAAATATATAGAAATAATAATTAATTTTATTCAAATTATTGTGTTCCCTTCTTCTATTTTCTTTTTTGGGATCTTGAAACTCTAGTGGTCTAAAACAAATCAACATCTTTTATATTTTAAGAAAAATATGATATAAATCCTCATTCTAGAGCATCATCATTTGCACATTATGTGGTTGGCTAAGCATTTATTTTGTGTTGAGCTCAAATAAATTATTAAATTAATGAAAATTTTATGTACATACCACACAATTCTTATGTATTAACATATTTAAGATCGAAAGTTCAATACTTATACTATAATATTTTGGTGTCATAAAACATATATATGAAAAGATATATCTTCCTTTTAAAAGAATAATAATTATGATATTTTGATGTGAAATTAAATGATCTAGTGCTATAAATGTGAAAATATAAATTTAGATGTTTGATATATAAATAGAAAAAAAAATTGTGATCTATGGGTAAATGCTCCAAAATTAATTTTCAATATTTGTAATAATCAAAATTGAGTTCATTCATCACATATGAGTTCATGGTTTCACCCCTTTATTGTACTTAGTAATCTCCCATTAAAATATTACATATAATATTAAAAAATATCTTAAAAGTGCCAAGGAATATAATAATAATAATAATAAAAGCCACCTAATTTATATGTATTTCCATATCTAACTCCCATCTTTTCCTCATTATATTTAAAAAATACCCAAATCTTTCATATAACATCAAAAATACCAATATTTTAACCATCAAAAAAATAAAAAAGGTTTGTAATGCAAAAATCTAAAATTTAGTTGTTATAATGTAAATACATAAAATTTGCGCATCTCTTAATAAAAATAATAAAACATGCATTTATTTCATCTTAGAACTATAAATTATATAAGAACTATTAACATTTGAACAATATAATAAGACTTATAAGAGAGAAATGAGGTAACTCAAGATCAAATAACTTGAAAAAGCAACTACTTTATAAGTCCCATAGAAGCCCATAAAAGCAACAAGATGATTTTTAGCAGAGAAAATATTCATTTCAAATAACAAAGCCATCAAGGGAAGATCATAGCATTCACTCATTAGCAGCACCAAACATCAAACAAACAAACAAACAAAAACTTCAGTTCAGATTTTAAGCAAACTCCTCACAAATTCTCCATAAAGTAAATACAGTTTGTCAATCAGATTATTAATGTTTTGATGAGATGAGATGAGATGAGATGAGGTTGAAACCATCAGAACTCCCTATCTGGAAGGAGAATGGGAGCGATGAGAGACCAGATGAAGAGTGCAGCTGTAGCCCAACCTGTCACGATCCTCACCCACACCGATGGCCATCCGACATCGATCAGCTTCCCGGTCTCGCCGACGGAACTCGACCAACCGGTGAGGAGCATTGCAGAGTACATGCTCGCCAAAGAGAAGATTAGATGGAAGAATGAATACGAGTACGAGACCGGAACCGACTCTTCTTTCTTCCCATCCTGTTCCTCTATCTTGTCGAAGGAGAGTAGCGGCTTATCAGAACCTATAAATGAAGAGAGATTAGAAAATGTTTAGCGATTGTTGCTTTAGGAAAAAAATGATAAAAGAAAGATTTACATGCATACACTCAATTCTAATGTATTTACATTTCTATCACCTAAACTTTAATATTTACACACATGTCACCTTACGTATGAAAAGATGTATTTAACTTTTTCAATGTTAAAATTGTGGTATTTTTATGTGGTGAATGATTTGGATGGTATAAATATAAAAAGTAAAGTTTAGTTGTTAGATATGTAAACATACATGAATTGGGTGCTACGTATGTAAATGCCCCTTGAAAAAATCAAATTAGTCAGTCTCACCGGCACGAGGAGAAGCCGGAGGGGAGAGAAGAGTGGTAGAAGAACCGGCACGGACAGCAGAGTACACGACGGAGAGGACGGTGGTGAGCAAGCCAATGGCAAGGCTTCCTGTAGAGACAGCTTTTGAGTGATTGTGAAGATTATTACACTCATAATCCCGTGGCTCACTCGAGAGTCCGTTGTAGCAAAGGTAGGTGCAGTAAAGCGAGATTACTGAAGCAGGAAGTAGGCTACCGTTAACCTGCAAAAATAAGAATAATAAATAGTTTCAAGTATAATCATTTCTCAATCTCTTAATTTATCCTTAATTTTGTTAAAAATCTTTCAATTTTCCCATACTGGATTTGGTTGTATAAAAATCTTTGGGGCATTCACTGACATAGAACACAATTCTTATGTATGTACACATCTAACACCTAAACTCTCCTATTTACAAACATTCACTCCAACCTTTAATATCACATCAAAATATCACTACTATTAACTTTTGAAAGTGAAGTATATATCTTCATGCATAAGTTTATGTCACCAAAGTGTTATAAATGTAAATATCAAATTTTATGTGCTAGATATGTAAAAATACAAATGCATTGTGTGGTATGCATGCTATTTCCCAAAACTCTTTTATTATCCAAGACTTATGCATAACATGAAAAAGACCCAAAGTACTTTGTTATTTAAACAAAATGAGATTTACATACATATCACATAACACTTATGCATTTTCATATCTAAAACTTAAATTTTGATAACTTGCATAATATTTTAGTATCTTTTATGCATTTTCATATCTAAAACTTAAATTTTGATAGCTTGCATAATATTTTAGTAAAACACACCAAAACCAAAACATATGCATGGAATAATAGACTTTACTTTAAAAAATAATACTAGTGGTAATTTTCATGAGTGTTAAAGATTCAAGTGCTATGGAGGTAAATATAAAAAATTAGCTCTCACATAAATACATAAAAATTAGATGTCACATATGACTAGTGTGGCATTTATACAAATTTCCCAAACTCTTTTACCATTTAAGACTTAAATGCATAACATATAATAGACCCAAAATACTTTGTAATACAAACTAAGTGAGATTTACATGCATACCACAAAACTCTTAATGTATTTTCATATCTAAAACATGAACTTTGAGATTTAGTTTCCCATTTTAGCAGCAGAATCACATTAAAACAAATGAATGAAATAATATGCTCTACTTTAAACATTATATAATTGGTATTTTTGATGCGTTGTTAAAGATTCAAGCTGTTAAGCTGGAACCCGATTAATCTCATTCCTGCCTCCCGATCTCCCGCTCCCGAGCCCGATCGCAAAAGATGTCTCCCGCCTGGCGTCGTTCGAGACAGAGGAACTGTTCCCAACTCTACCGTTTCACGAATCGTCACGCCTACCTGTTCGCGATAAGAGGTATCACAGGGCTCTCATTCATAGTAGTCACGACCTTTCTTTGTTCTTCTCGGATTTTCACGAGGCAGTGGAAGGGATTCCACGGAAGAGAGTGGAAGAGAAGTGCAAGCAGTAATTCCTTACGATAGAAGGAAGAAGAAAAAAATAAGAAGAAAATTGTTCTCCCTTGACTTCTTCTTGATGACTTGTGACAGAAGAGAAATT